CACGCAGTCCAAAACATATTGGTAGGTTAATTGGCTTCTGGGAAGATTGGCCCGAGGTGTCAGTGCATGTGCGTCTGTGTGTCTGCCCTGCAGTGAACTGATGTTTAGTCCAGGCTGGACTCTGCCTTGTACCCATTGCTTGCCACAATAGGCTCCTACTCCCCCATAACCATGAATTGGAGGAAGCAGTTAGAAAACGAATGGATTGATGGATTCCAGACAAATATCATGAAAGTAAAAGCTACCATTCCAAACTTATGACATGCTTATGTCTCACATTCATAAAGGCAATGCTCTTGTAATTAGGAGTAAGAAGGGGAAAAAGGAAGAGGTTAGAAGATGATATATTCTTATCAGAATATATCTCCTCAACAATCAGAATTTATCCTTCATCCTTTCATAATTTTAGTAGAGCCAAGAATATATATTATGCAGACTGCGTAATTAGTGCATAATTTAAAATACAGTATAGCCTTTTCAATAATTCATGCACTAAAATGAGAAAGTACATTGCCATACATTGCCAGCTACTTTTGACATTTTCTTGTCATTCTCCCCCTGATTTTGAATGTTGATGCAGGTGAAAAATATGCATTTTTCTTAATGATTTGGGTGAGAGCTTAATAAAATATAACAGGGAGTACAAATATTACGTTTCATGCCACATGTAGTCAGTGAAGTTCTCAGGGAGAAAAATAATATGAGGGCTAGGAATCCTGATTGTATTGAAAAGTTTTATTCAAGTTTTATTTTTGATGGCTTTCGTCCTGCAACACCATCGCTGAATCCCACCTCGTCCATAAAAAGTGTCATGGATTGCCCCTGTACAATGTCCATCACTCTCATGTTTGTCATATAAAACATTTGTTTGATAATGTTTAGAATACATATGTCATTTTATGGGGATTGTGTATGTGTGTAGAGTTTTAACCTGTTTAACTTTAGGCTGTGGACCTCGATTGGGACATTATGGAGGGTCACATAATCATTGCTTACAGTCTCTCTTTGAGAGGTTCATATTCATTCCGAGACAAGTGCAGTGCTGGAGTTCAAATGCATGGCAATTGCCCAACCTTGATAAGCCCCTCTCGTGCCTTCGCTGCAAGAAAATATTTGGGAAAGTGGAATGCTGTAATGCAAAAAAAACATCCTGTGTTTACTCCACATTACGAATAAATTCCTGGCAGTTTAGACACCAAAAATTGATATTTTCAGGGTATAAAAGAAGTGCTGTATAATACTGCAGTCTGTGTATAATTGTAACCAGCTGAAAATAGTTTGTTCTTGTCTTTTTCTGTCCTGTACAGATAGTTACATATTTTAATATAATTTTTTCCTCTGTTTATTGTCAATTTTCGTCCTACTTAAATCATGTTTCCCTTAGCATCCTTCTCAGTAGGTTCACCCTGTTCTGAAGCTACAGGATGAACAATACTGTGGAATCTTCTCTTTTGGTGGGATGTCCGAGACACCTGTACCATCCCAGGGCAGCTCTGAGTGCTGATGGTATTGTAGCATGCTCGGGTTCTTGGGGGGTTTCTGCCCTTGCTGCTCCTGCCCCAGTTCGTCCCCCGCGTCAGGATCAAACCCGGGCCTCCGGCGTCGCTCAACAGGGATATGGCTGGCTGAGCTAAAGAAGGCCTTCGTCGTTATGCACAGGGGAGTAGAGGGAGGTGCCGTCACTGTGTCACACTCTCCCCCGCTTAATTTTCGCTATTCTCAGCGAAGGCCTATCCCATCCCACTGCTGACACCAATGTAGTGAATTTGGGATTTTGGGGGTTTTTCTGTCCTTGCTGCTTCTTGCCCCAGTTCGTCCCCCTCCTCAGGATCAACCCCAGGCCTTCAGCATTGTTCAACAGAGGTTATTGCCGGCTGAGCCCCAGAAGGCCTTCGTCAGCCCAGGCGGCCAACATCCCTGTTATGTGCAGGGGGAGTAGAGGGAGGTGCCGTCACGGCGGTGCAACTGGCTCGTACAACCTGTATGTCAGCCGTTCGTTACAGTATGTTATGCACAACAGTAGTGTGTTTTCTGACTTTTCAGTGTATATAAATTGGCAACTTTGCCAGTGCCAAATATTCTGCATTCAGTAATGGCTCCAGATGGCTTTTAGCGGATGCCGATAGTGATAACAAGTCTTTTAATGGCTTCTGCATTAACAGCCTTTGGCAGCTAACTGTTGTGGTCCTGTAGGTGTGCACGCAAAATAGATTTTCACAATTTCAATCAAAACCAAGAAACCCAGCTGGGTTTGGTCAAGTTAATGGAAAACCATTCAACTAGATACATTTGCCACTACATCTGTTGTACTCAAGATTAACACTATCAAAATATTAAAGGTGTTTCTGGGTAACATTCTTTCAGTTTCAAATTGTACTGCATGTGATTTTAACAGAGGCATCTTAAGGAAGGCAATAAGATGATAGCAATTATCAGTAAGGTGAGAGTTTAAAGATTTAGACATGCTGCGGAGTATGTCTTTAGAATGGAGAAAGATTAGCGTACGTGGCTTTTCATGAGAGCTTTGAGTCCAGTTGTTATTTGAGTTCTGAAATTAAAGTGCCCTTTAAAAAACGACAGCAAAGACACTCTCCCCAAGGGTCTGCTAGACAACTAGCATGACAATCTGACACCTTGTTGTGCTCAAATACGTCCATGGAAAGGTGTGCACAACACCCTGCAGTTAGGAAAGTGAATTGATGGGTGTCAGAAGTAATAAACCAGCATGTTTTGCATACCGCATTAAATCTTGCTGTACTGGTAAAGCAAAACATAAATTGTGGTGAGACATTATCAGGAAAACAGAAATGCCAGTGAAGTATTTGGATACAAATATGAAAATACAATGGAATGAAACAACATAAACATCAAGGAAGCATGGTTAACCACAATGAAACCACATAACGGTGAGGGGATATTTTATGATATTTGGTTCCAGTAAAGAGTTTTATTTCTTCTCAGTCCTAACAAAATACACACAGGGAGCATAGCCCATAGAATTCCTTTCTCAGTGTCTATCTCTGCTCTGTCTCCCACACAATAACACATGCCTTGAACTCTACTCATTCAAACACAAAGCAAAATAACACCTCACCAGCTTTGCAAATTTAATTCCATGACATATCTGAGACCTACAATCGCAGATTTAAATAATATCCTGATTTATATCCCTAGTTCTTTCATTCAAGTGTTCTAATGTGTCAAAAAGTCATCAGAACTGAAGTCACACCTAGTGGTCTTACTTAATAATAGTAGTACTGTGACACTTTGACACTTCTGTGACAATAATAGTGAGACACTTTAAATTAATAATAATAATTGCTTACACTTATATAGCGCTTTTCTGAACACTCCACTCAAAGCACTTTACAGGTAATGGGGACTCCCCTCTACCACCACCAGTGTGAAGAATCCACCTGGATAATGCAACAGCAGCCATAGTGCGCCAGAACGCTCACCACACATCAGGTATCAGTGGGGAGGAGAGCAGAGTAATGCCAATTCATAGATGGGGATTATTAGGAGGCCATGATTGGTAAGGGCCAATGGGAAATTTGGCTCTACTCTTTTCTTTTAATGACCACAGAGAGTCAGGACCTCGGTTTTACGTCTTATCCGAAGGACGGCGCCTGTTTACAGTATAGTGTCCCCATCACTATACTGGGGCATTAGGACCCACACAGACCACAGGGTAAGTGCCCCCTGCTGGCCCCACTAACACCTCTTCCAGCAGCAACCTTAGTTTTTCTCAGGAGGTCTCCCATCCAGGTCCTGACCAGGCTCACACCTGCTGAGCTACAGAGGGCTGCCAGTTGTGATTTGCAGGGTGATATGGCCATGCTGGCTTTTCTGAAGGATTCTGATCCTTTTATGGGAAGCTGACCATCCCAGATGCTTAACATCTGAGATCTGCCCAACATCAGGATTTATTCAGGAGATATCTTTAAAAGATCTTTTAAGATGTAGTCATTACTTTTTTGTCTCGATCAGAGATTTGAAAAGTCACACACATTCTGTACAGGGCTGATTAAAAGGTGAAACAGCTCGTAGGACAAGACTGATTGTATCTGCATTGTCAGAAAACTAAAAGGACTCTGGTGGTTCGTCACTTTCCAAAACTAAGATGAAATTTTAAAAAAAAAACTTAAAACAAACCAAAACTTGTCAAGATAGTATGTTCTGAACTCATCATTTGCAAAGACATTATTAAGCTTATTCTGGATACGTGGATCAGGCATTCTGTAAATAAAAGAGGAAAAAAAGCATTTGAATTTTCAATCCTTGCCTCCTGTGAAGTGCAGGGAGATGTAGGAACGTGCTCCAAGCCCACTGATTATCCTGCTGGTTTTCAGCCAGTCCTTCTTGCTGGAAAAGCGGTTCAAGGGTCAGAATGAAGTAATTCAGAACACTACCACCATGCGTTTACAGGATGTCCTCATTGCTGACAGGATGCCTTTTAATCAAACACCTATCAGATTATCTCACCAATGAGGCAAAAGCAGAGATTTGATGAGGAGCACAAAAGTTTTGTGAACCTGCGAGATCTCTAACAGTCAGTCCACTTTTTCATGGTACCGTCTTGCCACAAATTCAATATCCCAGCTTCACCTGCTCAAAGATGTTATACGTATTTTGGTCACTAGAGGGAAAACATTGGCGATTATACAGAAATGTAGAGTATTCTACTCAAAAATACTTCAGAATAAACTGTATAGCACATCGTTATTAATTACAGTTGAAGTGCCATAAATGTTTCCTAGCTTTGAATGTGTTGATACAGTAATTAAAAGAATACAAGAAACCAAACTGAAGCATCAAGAAGAAATCACATCTGTATTTTTTCACAAGGTAAGTGAAACGGTGAAAACATATATATTCATCCAAGTCAAAACCATTCCTGCTTTTACTTACGTCTGGATTTTTTCAATTCAATTCTAGAGCAGAACCCATCCCGAAATTAGATATCCAGTTCTCAGAAGAAATCCAACACTAAAAACAGATCATGTTTAGGTTTTTTTTTATTAAAATACCTCGCAAAGCCCCTGCTCCTTGATTTCTGATCCATGCCACTCTTTCAAATAAATGCAGTTTCATTTATGCAGCTGGAGTTTGCAGTTTCAACTTTCAGTGAGGCATTAAAATTGAAGACAACAGTCATATCACCTATTTGGCTGTTGTTGATGTTTTTATTTGACAATAGGTCATTACTTTGAGTGATTCTGTTTTTTTCCCTATTCATGTCCCATAGTCAATGCAAAGATTTCCCTCATCCATGCAGAATTTTATTATGGAAATCAGTGACAGATAGGCAGCACAATAGGAAACAAATGAATGCACTTTCTTTTCCCAGAGGACTTGCCCACAGAAAGAAATAAATATGAATTCTGTCTGCTGGACCCATTAAAATGTTTTTAAAAATTATATTATTCAAGAAAAACCTTTTATTGAAAAGCCTGTAGGCAAGTTCTGCCTTGTTTCCTCTGACATGCTTGTTGTGGCAAAATATGATATTAAAATTGTTTCCTGTCTCTTTTATGCACAGTAGTGCTGTGCACCATTACACTGCTTCACATGAACTATTTGGATTCATCTTATGTAACCAAATAGCAGCATTTCCAGTCATCCTCGTTCAGTAACCACAGAAAGTGTGCTATAATTACATGACCTCACTCATTGACGCTTTATATGCATGTCCATTTGGGCAGTTTTGAGACACTCTTGGCACAGAGAGAAAGATTTTTTCTTTTTTATTCCCTTGTTTCATTACATCTCCCCTGCTTTCGTTGACATTTTTTCAAAGTCCACCAAACTGAACCGATAGTGGCATGCGAAGAGTTAACGCCGCACAAATGCTTGAAATTCCAGACATGTAAGATCTTGTGTGAGAACTGTCTTGAAAAGATAACAACGGATCATACTGGACCCCTTCTCAGAGCCCAAGATTAACCAGAAAAAACATCATGTTGGTGCTGTCATCATTTAGGATACCACATTAAAAACATTTTTTCAATATTTTCAGTTCATGAAAGGAAACCAACATTTACAATGAAACTAGCAGCCTGTACTAAAGTTAGTTGCATGAAAATGTATATTCACCATCTGCAACACACATTGAAGTGTATACAAATCAGAGATTTTGTTCTAATTTGACATCAATGACCATAAAAGGCTCAACCATGGGTCATTTTAAACTGGTAGTCCCTATACAAATTTGCATAATACACATCTATTTAAAATGTATTTCCTGATATTTTACAATAATGTTTCCCAGTTCTTTATGCAAACGCATATGGCTGGTCTATATTAAAACAAAGTTTTTTTTAGAAATAAGTACAGTATTTTTAATATGTTGTGTTACTTATATGACAAAATCATGACGTTCCCAAACTTTATGTCTGTCAAATAATAAATAATAAATGTAGTTCTGTAAGGGGTTTTCTGTGGAAACAGGATGGATACCTTTCCTTTTGCGAATAAAATCTACGTTCCCTTCTGAATGATGAAAGCTCTCATGTTCCACCATTAAGCTTCCAGCCTTTTTTTAATCCTTTTCTTTGGAGCAGATAATTTCCTGTTTGTTTCTGAATTATGTTCACACGATGAGCAATATAACTGGGGGTCAGATTGGCTTCGTAGAAAGTGTAGCTCCACTTAACTGGGAGAGATGAACCCACAAGCTTCAGACGACAGACATGAAGTCTGCGTTTCACATCCGTTTGGGTAGAATTGACCCATCTTGTGTTTCCCTGCTGTATCTGTGCTTAAACAAATATTTCCCTGAGCTCTTAACAAACCCAAAGGCAAAGTGTCAGCTGGGATGATTGCCGTTGTGCTGAAAGGTCATTTGAATTAGAGGAGCTCCGTCAGGAGTATGGCCACCTTCCCTAAAGAGTACTGTATCTGTTCCCCACTCACAGCTCCAAGAGACAACAATTTTCTAATATTTGGGCATTTTCACACTCCTTTCCTCATCATTGTGACACCACATTGTTCCAGAACCTGCTGATATGGCTTGTACACCCTTAATATGATGAAATAGTCCTACAGTTTATATTTTCCTATCTCGTGTCATGCCTTTCTGCCTCTCTACCAGCACAACAGGTAGAACTGCTTCTGAGGAAACCAAGCGCTTTATTTACATTATTGCTTCATGGTTTCCATCCATTACAGTTGAGTGGAGGAGAGCTTTGCAGTGCCTGCTTTGAGAGAGAGTTTCTTCTTTTCCACAGACTGCTTCTTACGAATTCCCTGCCCTGCCAGGAAGTACAATATGGGGTCCAGGCAGCTGTTGGCACTGGCAAGAGGCCTCGTGACCTTGTACGCAATGCTGGCACCTTCAAGGGCACTGCAGCTGATGTCTTTGCCCAGGTATCTGAGGATGTAGTAGAGAGTGCGAGTGAGGTGGAAGGGCAAGAAGCAGACCATGAAAACCACCAGGACGATAATGATCATCCTGATGGACTTCTGTTTAGACTTCGACGAACAGGACCCGCCCGCACTGGGCTCTAGCAGCTTCCTGACCATTAAGCCATAGCAGACCACGACCACCACGAATGGGATGCAGAACAGCATGATGGAGATGAAGGAACTATAAACCAGGAAGTCTTCAAACAGTTCGCTGCTGGTGGTGTCGTAGCACATGTTCACCTCCCCCACCTCTGTGGTGCGAGAGAAATACAAGATGGGGGACTGAAAGGTTATCACGGCGATCCAGACGCCTACGGACATCAAGCGGGTCCTGTGCTTGCTCACCCACTGCAGGGACTGCATGGGGTAGCAGATGCCCAGGAAGCGGTGAATACTGATGCAGGACAGGAAGAGGATGCTGCCGTACAGGTTGGTGTAGAAGAGAAAGCGAACGATTTTACAGAAGGGCTCGGTGAACGGCCAGTCATTTTCACCTGCATAGTAATATATGAGGAAGGGCAGAGTGAAGATGTACAAGGTGTCGGACACAATCAGGTTGAACATATAAATAGTGCTGGGCTTCCAGCGCTTTGTCCTGAAGACAATAACATACATGGCGATGCAGTTGAGCGCCATTCCAATGAGGAAGACCAGCCCGTAGCTGACTGGAAGAAGAAGGTACTTAAAGCTTTCATCGAAAGAACATCGGTAGGGGCTGCTCTGGTTTGACTCACTTTTGTTGAGGGTGGCCATCATTCATCAACAGGGACTGCTCAGGAGCTGCCATGGGAAAAAAGAACAGAAAAGGGCAACATTAAAAAAATGAGAGCAGACGCAGGCACCCCAGATCTCCGTCCATCTTTTTATCGACCCAGCAAATCCCTCATGAAGATTTCTATGATTCTCATACCTTTTCTATGGAAACTGCAGAGTCATTTAAATTTGCGATGGCGCGCACATATACTGTATGTACTTCAATTTCTAATAGTAAAGATTAGAGGAATCCCATGCAAACTCAGTTTTCTGTTTTGAAAATCGGCGAGGGAAGCTGGTCGATTTAGAGCTGCCTCGTTTTGTGGTTCCAGAGGCTTCACAACAGTTTCAGTCTGCTGCCCAATGTTAGCACAACGTCATGAATTATTAATGCAGTGGTGTGGAGGATCCATTAGGGCTTGACCTGGATGGGTTCGTATCCTGTTTGAGGCTCTGCTGCTGAGCTCTTGAGCAAGAGATTTCGGGATTTCAAACAGAATTCGGATTGCTCCAGCTGTATAAATAGTTACAGATGTCAATCTCTTTGGAGAACACTGTCAGCCAAATGAAATAATAATTTATTATAAAGGGCAATGTAAATAACGTGAAACAACTCACTGCTCATTCAAAGCCCTCAGTAAAGACTCCGGGCTGATTATGTTATAAAAGGCACTGGGGTTGGAACAGTGTTGCAACAAAGAAAACGCTTGCTTGTGAACTGCAAATATAATGACTGAAAGAGTTGTTAGATGCTAGTTAGGTAAAGAATTTACTTTCTGCTTTATAGGGAACAGAGTGTGGTCTTGAAAGCGTATAAAATGGTAATAATTTTTTATAATATTCTGCTGACAGCTATGTCTTTTACTACCTATAGTGGTTATTATCAAAACATAAGGCACTTTTAAGGTTGTTTTGACACGCTTGAGGTTATGTGTTATCTGTTCTTACAAACTGTAGACAGTTTACACAACAGTATAATTTTCTACCACTTTTGAGAAGTATTGGGCTTGTTTCGGCTGCTTATATGTCTGTTCTGCAATCTAAGGTACAGATAATAAAAACTGAAAGCTTAACGTTCTTAAATTATTCTTTACTCCACATTTCTAAAGGGAATATCTGTATCAATCTCTCTATTGGAATCAATCCTTCAATCCATCAACCCAGTAAATCATCAACCAATCAATATTTTATTTTCTATTAAAAGCTTACAGCAGTTTACCTTTTGCTTTTGTTTTAAAATATTTGGGTATTCACTAAAAAGTTAATATAAAAAGAAATACAACTTCCATTACACCATATAAAAAGTGTCAACTGAATTAAAGTCAGCTGCTGGGTTAACAACATATATTCTTAATCACGTCAAACATTAAGTTTTTCTCTTGAGGTGCAATACGAGTGATACACACCAGCAGAAAGCTGAGTAAAACAATTGTACAAACATACGTATCAGATGCAGTATGTTAAGAATGTCTTACATGAATCAACTTGAAAAATAAGCTTAAATATTCATTCAAGGCCAGGGCTTGTGTGATCACTGTGTAATCCCTTCAATAGTAGTTTGAAATATATTGACCCATTATGTTTCATAGATAGAAAACTTAAAAAACCTACATTTGTGATGTCGCTCTGCCCCTTTCTCAAACAAATATTAACGTTGTTTTATATAATTTCATTTACTTACAGTTTAATGTCTCGTTAAGGATGTCAAACCCCTGCTACTAGATGCATGGTCTGTTTCCTCTTGCTCACTACATACAAAATGATTAGCACCTTCACGTGGGAGTTAAAGCACATCTTTGCAAGTCAGAACTCGTGAATCTGTGGCATAACCAGCATGTCAGAGTGCATTGTTTGCACAGTATAATGTCAAGTCAAACAGAGCGGGTGCAGAAAGCCGGCTGTCAAACAGGAGGGAAAGATATCAAAGTTTGGATATACTGTAACCAGCTTTTTACCGTTTTGTTTTCTTGGTATCATCAGTTTATACTGTCGGTGCTCCGTAAAAAATATATATTTTCAGGAAGAAGGACCACATTCTTCGTGAAAAAAATTGGAACCAATCACAACTTGTTTTTACATACAAAGATAATGGAGGGAATGTCAGTTATAGTAACAAAAGTGAAAATGAAGCCTGAATAATAATTACACGCATAGTGTGCAATGTCACTGCAACAAATCAGTAAAAAATAGCATCTTCCTTTCCAAAGTATATATATTTAATTGATACAACCTGTGTGCACTTAAATAATTTGTTACACTGTCGGGCTTCTATTATTTTCAGATTATCAATACGGTTCATTTCCATTCCCAGAAATAAAAGTCATTTTCAATAACACTGAAAACTGAAATTAAGCCATGTCGGTGTTGGCACTGTACGGGCTGCTGCCTGTGAACAAAACGCTTATCAAAAGAAAGGGATGAGATAAGACGTCCCTTATGTCAGAAGCAATATGGCAAACTTTAAAATGGTAGGAGAAAGTCTGGACACACAAGAATTGGCGGGTGGCTACTTTCAGTAACACAGTAGAGGGGAGCAGCGAGAAACCCATTAGGCACAGCGATCGTTTATATCCCCACTAAATATATGTTTTAATAGTAAACATTTCACACAGGAGATGCCAGACGGGATAGCCTTGATGCGTGTGCAGGTGTCCAGGAATCACTGTGGGAATGCCAAAGGAAACATCCAGGAGAGACACCCCTGTTGGCACCCTCTTCTTCGACTTCCTCACCACGCTTCGGGCACAGGGCAGAATGCAAAATGTGAAAAGTGACACTTCCCAGTCCTTCAGAGCCGCAGAAAACAACAAAGTCAACATTCGAAAACCTTTCAAAATAATAAGCTAACAAGTCGATGGAATAATTCTCATTTTTGTTTCTGTGGGGAGATGGAAAAAAAAACAGGCATTTCTGATCAGTGGCTTATCAAAATTAATTGGAGCATTAATAATTACTTACTATGCAGATAAGTTAACATTGAATAGAAAACCTCAAGTCAATTTCTTTCTTTGTTCAACAAGCAACTCAAAGGAACATAGACTCTACATTTACATTGCTCTAGAGAGCCTTATGATGATATTGTTGGCACTGGAACCGTTAATTCGTACCCAAGTATGTTAATGTCCAAAAATGCACAGAAAAAAACTAAGGTCAAAGCCATGACGAGAATTGTACTTACAGATGTAAATGTACTCAGATCCCTTAGAGGCATAATTCAGGTACTGACAACAAATTTGGAGTATATGTTATGAAACACACAACGTAAAAATGTTAGTCAAAAGGTATCCTCCAAGGTATACACTACGCGTTTAGCTATAATTTACTTTCATTCGGGTTACTAGAGTGTCGCCTAGTGGGAAAAGTGCATAATGCCTTTCTTTTAAAAATTAGATTTTTTAAATCCTACGGTGCAGACCGGAAACTAGATTGCGATATTTAAAGAGCATTTTTATTGTTTTCATTTTTCTTTCTCAGTTGAATGTTTGAGTCTCACGGGGCTAGTAGATAAAGACTAGTTTCATTTTTCTCAGTTGATTAGTACAGTCATAGCAACCATCCACAGATGTGCTCTTGACCCCTTTTTAACGGATAATTGAATTATCCGTAATTATTTAAAACGAGTACACTTTTGTTGGCATGAATTTGTTCTTCGCAGTTGTTGAAATGATAAAAGGGTCAATCCAAGACATCACTGAGGTTTGAAATTCTCCAAAAACTACTTTCTTTTTGGACTATTGCGTGGAATCTGAATAAAATCCCGTTACATTTCAGTTAGAAAACACGTTGTGTTCTTTTGAGCCGCAAGCGTTCTTACAGATTACACCGATGAAGCAGAAAATGCATCTAATGTTATCCCAACATCATTCATCGTTTGGCGTTCCTTTACATCTGAGCTGACAGCTTTTGACACCTGAAGTAAATAGAACTACTGCAACAAATGCCTTATTTTTTCTCCCCCTCATGTTGACTTCATTTAAAGCTCTCAGAATAAGACGTTGCTATACTGGAACAGAATCCAAAATCTGTCAATTGAATTTTAATAGAAGTAATTGGTTTAAGAACCGAACTGGCGTTATGAGTCGTGTGGAGAATATATTTGTATTTGGAAAAAATATTGCACATCTGTGTCGATCACCATTTAAACATCATTGTATACCTCCTCATCACAGAGAAAACTCCAGCTCACCGATGCTAACCATTGACTATCCTCCATAGCAGTCAGCATCCAACTAGAGGCATCTTCTAGACGAGGCAGGGAATTGTTAATAACATCAAATTGTAAAAAAGATACACCACAAAAAAGTCAGTCATCTTCATGACTACTGGGAGAGGTAGTTAAGTGATTATTTGAATTAGAAATTCCACATCAGTGATTTTTGAATCACTACAGCTATTGTTTATAGATTTCTACATTAATAATTACGTGACATAACGCTTTCATAAAATGATCAGACCTGTAAATTTGTTTTTTCAATTAAAGGGTTAGTTATGACATTTCTTAAACCCTTGAAGGACATCAAGGATGCTGAATCCCTTTCTCTGGGTTTGACTGCCTCTCTGTTGCCTAGCCCTCTCCAATCAATGTGATGTGCATCGTCTGCTTTTCCTTGTTGCTGAGCAGGTCTGGAGACGCAATCCTGCAGGGAATAGAAATGTTTGACACCCGTTTAAAGGAGTCAATAAATCTGGATTACCGCAGCGCGGCGCTATTCTCTCGGTTTCTGAGAAACGGGTCCACATTCTTCCGTGCATCAACCGATTTATGTTTTTTTTTTAAAATAAAGAATTACATATTTACTTTGCTTGATTCGTGCAAAGCCTCGAAGTCTTGATACCCTGAAAAGGGCGTTATCCATTATTATGAAATCATATTTACCGCTTTGGTAAATTTTTACATAACTTTATTAGACATATCTTCATCCATATAAATCTACATTAATATGAATAATACTGAGAAAAAAACAGCAGTTGGCGTTTTGATTGTGATACCCTGATTCTCCGACGACCTGTGATGATTAAAAAGCGGTATTAATGTATTATATATATCAAAATAATAATTTAAAACTTTATTCCCTCTCGGTAAATAACCTAAAGAAAATAAAACCGTTGCTTAAAATATCACCCATTACTCACAATACAATACACTTTGTTAAATATTAGCATTTATGCTAGGATATTTGCAACAAATGATTTCGATACTCTTCCTAGTGCATTTACAGTACATCATTATAATATACGGTATATACTTTTATACTTTTACGTACTTATCGTGCACAGAAAGAAATTAATGTGTTCTTGTGAATAAGCTAACCACATTTCTACTCCAAACCTTGCCTTTTAGGTAACAAGTCATATTCGCAATATATTTGGGTCTATATGTATATTTGTTTCCCAGTTCTCTGTAACATATCCTTTATTTAGTTGCTCTCTTCTGATGTTTTATACCGAAGTTTATTGTTCTACCGGTTGTACATGGTGTGCCTTTTTCCCCCCTCATCATCAGACATGATGTTATGTAAATAAAAATCCCTGGGAAAAAAAAACCGGTTCAATAACAACAACAACAACAACAACAACAACAAAAACCCTCTTTTTTTTAAAATGAAAAACAGCACACACTCTCCCTCTCCCTCGGATAACCTCAGCATGTCGCCATTGAGCCTGTTTTGGACCGGAAACCTGGCGCTGCATTTCCATTGCATTTCGGCTATTATTTTCCTGCATCGAGCCTCTGCGCTCTGCAGTGCTCAGCCTGTGTGAGTGGAGGTGGTTATCATGGCCGCCTGAGCGAATCCCGATCCGTCTGTACTCTCTTCTCCGTCTCACTCTCCTCTCTCTCCTCGGCTCCGGGGTCCTACATCTTTCTTTTGCACCTTTTCTCGGGCTTAAACTCACTTCGCTAAGGATTTATCATTCATGTCAGAGCTCAAATATGCAGCCTCCTCCGAGAAAGGTAAGTTTTTTCTTCTTCTTTTCTTTGCTTTTCGGTAGTCGAAAATGATGACCCCCCCCCCTCCCCAGGAAAAAAAAAACTCAGTAAGGCAGACTCTTATTTTGTCTCGGGGAGTATTTTGAACGTGCCAGTTCATAATGAGCAGTCGGGGACGTAGCTGGCAATGTGGTGTATAATATATAACGTTTTCGCCCATGCAGGAATGCATTTTTCACTTACGATTTCGGGTTTTTGCCCAGTGCGGAGCAAAGGGTAATAAGATTGTAGCGGAACTTAACGGTGAACTTAAAATGTTCGTGTGGGGTATTTACTGAGCACACAGCAATGAACGATGTTTTGTTTCGGGTTTTGCTAGCTGTTTGGCACCGGTGATTTCAACTTTCTTCTGACCGATTTAACTTATTTAGTAAATACCGACTTTATAGGCTGCGGAGTCACAGTCTATAAAGGAGACCCGGACAATATTTTTTTATTTGATCTGGACGGTGATAAACATATTTTTTAAAAGCCTACGTATTTTTTTAACTGTTACAGAATTACATCGAACATCTAACCGAGAACAGAAAAAAATGTGTACACAGAGAAAAAAATGTGTACATAGTGACATTTATTTAAACACAGTGATAAAAAAAAATATGTAGCCTAACATTTTTCTATTTAGCTACACAGAATATCAGGGGACAGAAGAATGTCAACACAAAGATATGGGCATCTGCTTAATATTATTGCAGAATAATGAAAGAATACTGTATGTCACACCCTCAGCAATACTGTACGGACTCGCTAAATTGTTGCAAACCGGTAAGAGTCTAGGTAAAACGAATTGGCGGTATCATCTTGATCACATATTTGGAAATAATATCCTTTAGGCATCAATCAATTAAGCGCCCTGGACTAAGTAAAAATGCGTTCTGATGTTTGAGCTAAAAGGACAGTTTGGGATTGTGTTCTGTTTATGTACATTAAAGTATAAATATATCCCTTACTGTCGAAATTGTATTTACAGGTGTACGTAATCTGAACTGGGCTATACACGCACTTTCTAGAAGAGTTATTAGTAGACATACAGTATCAGTAAACCGCTGCAGTTGTAACAGTATTTACCGCTGGCATGAGTGACATTTTAACCCGCGTCATGTATTTTCTTCAAGGTTATATATTGGTGATATTAGCACCTGAAAAATAACGTGCTGAAGTGGCAGTGGGTGGGTATTGGATTCTGTGTTTAATCAAACCACTCGAGACGTGACTTGTAAGATCCTGTCAGTCTTGGGGTGTGTGACCGATTGAGGGTAATTAGAATGCAGTAGAGATTAGCTTATTTATTTTGGGGGTATATCGGTTTCACATGAATTGCAATTTTTTGTTAAAATACTCAGATATAGTGATCTAAATATTTGAAATGGACGCTCCATAATATTTGGCTTGGATCCATGGATTTTTCTTTGCAGTCTAAAGGTGGTTTCTTGTGCTGGGTGATGGTATCCCATTACATATGTTGGCAAAGTTATCCAAACAGATTGTAAGCCACTTATGGTTCTCAGCGACTGCCCTGAATGTGATGTTTGCTGTACTTACTGTAAGTCATAAAACTTGTAATTTCTTTGTACTGGCTGTTCTCTGAGCGTAGCTAAGGGGTGTTTGGATAAGACATGATAAGCTGTCTTCAGAGATGTTTATGGCATTCGTAGACCAGCAGCTGTGTATCTTTCCATCAGTCAGTGGCTTCTGTTATTTGACATATTTTACATTGTTAAAGAGCCTCTTCTAAATCGCCCCCAACACAGAGGATAGCGGGACAGACAGTTCCTTCACGGTAAATCTCAAGACGCCACCGAAACCAATTAACTTCCTCAGAGTTGGCCTCTGTTAATTGTAATTATTTTGTTCTGTTATTCTTGTGAGTGTATCAGGAGTCAGCAGCGCGGGCGCGCTCTGTGAGATTGGAGTTGCCCTCCTGGGCTAAGCCAGCTGTTGATTGAATTTCGCCAGCCAGTGCCCCTGCCCTCTGGGGCTGCCGCAGCCTCTCGGAAATCTGGGCTCGTGGGCGAGGAAGTTGCTAGCTGTCCCGTCTGTCCTCGCTCTTTGTTAAAGAAGCCGCCTCAGGGTGTACAGTAGCCGGTCTTGCGTCCACTAGCTGCTGTGTGCTCTCCTGCAAGGGCACTGGTGTTGGGTGAGGGAAAAGAACGGTGGGGTATTTGCAGTGCAGAACTATTGCATATCGTTACAGCTGAAAGTGTATCATGTAATGGGGGGAAAAAACAATAATCTAATCAGGGGAGTTATCTGAATCTGCCGTTCTCTGCTGAAGTGCAAGATGCAGAGTACAGACTGTTCTTGAGAAGGCATGAGTGCCAAATCAAAATCAAAAAGCGGACAGGTTATCTAATATGTTGTCTTGCAAGCATTGTACAGTATGTCTGGTATTTTATACCAGTGGCCCAAGAAATAGGGTCATAACTGGTGTCACAGCAGGGAAATAACCAGGCTCTTAAAACAAAAATGAATGAACCTCTGGTAAAAAAAAAAATATTAGTTTATTCTGTGTCTCCAAATCATTTTAATTTGTATTTTGACACAGTCCACAGTACCCCGCCAGCATGCAATCACAGCTGGCTATTAAGTGGTGGCTGCCCCAGGCGGGGGAACTAGGCAGAGATATGGAAAAATGCTTCTGATTTAGTTCAGATCTAGAGCTTTATTGCTCCCTTTTAGAACCTAATTTTTCACCCTGTTTCATTGTTCTTTGCTTGACATTCTTTTCTTTGTGTTTAGCTCCCTCCCTTGGAACTGCGCTGGGGCATTAAAAAGCTAACCGTTGAACAAACAGTGGAGGCAAACTTTTAAAACTGCGCTGTTGGTTATGACAAACGGTGGCCCACTGTCATACACATACGCTATATCCATATTAAATGCATACTCCGTATATGCACACAATACAATGGCAGCTTAAAGGAACGTTTAACATTTATCTTCTTCCCGACTTAAAATTAAGATATTTGGCACTCTATATTTATGTCATTAAATTCAAATATGTAATACTGTAGTTCTCTAATTACAGAGGCTGAAAAGGATTTTCATTAGCACTAAGGATACACACTTACTGTAAATGTCAGCATTGTGAATTGGAGTATTTTATGCTGAAACAAAAGGGCGTGCAAACATTTTTTTCTGGAAAAAGCAGGAACGCCATCTGATGCCAGACACTATTGTAAAATTGTCTTTTCACTGTAATTAACGTTCTGTAGTTGTAAATGTGCTTTTTGCAGATTGTCAGGAGGCGGATAATTGGGGGGAGTTAAACACGTGACTGATCTTTATTTTTGGGTTTGTAGGTAAAAGTCACCCAAGAACTGAAGAACATTCACGCTGAACAGATGACGAGGCTCCAGGTGAAGCACCAGGCAGAATGTGATCTACTGGAAGACATGAGGTAAACGCACTACTGTATATCATTAAAGAACCCCCCCCCCAAAAAAAAATAAAAAAGAGGGGAAAGATCCTGATTTATTGGAAGAACATTCAGATTACAAAACTCGGGGATGTGACGAAGGAATTTCCTCTTGGATATCCTGCTCTGGGCCTTATGAGGTCTGACACAGCTGGAAGCCATAACTGGAACTAATGCCGTGCAAATATTTTCCTTTTTTTCCCCCCCTAATGAAAGTGTGAGGCATGTAATAGAAAGATACTTGACATACCAGCTAGGATCTCATTTTACTCTGTAGTATGTTGCAACGCTGTGGAGGCAGCCCGCACAATTTGGTGATTCTCGTCAAAAGGATGTCGGATTACACAATAGCCTTGATGTTAAGTGAGGTCGGAATTCTGTTTTATGTGAGATACGGAATATGCTTTATCGTTGGAAAGCAGTGGGACAGCTGGTGGTGGTAAGCCGTCACCAAGCAGGCCTGTGACAGTGAACGTTTCACACTTTTTCTCGTGCACATTTCTTTTTGATCGATGGGAGAATCGATTATATATTGAAGGGGCCTTTTTTTTTTTGTCCAGCAGCCTGAATCGCACTTCTGTTCAATATTAACCCTTCAGTAGGAAGGCTATAGGGTTTTAAGAGCTGGAGGCTGGGCATCAGTTCCATTACGTGTGAATGGTGCCAAGCTTGGTGTGAGAGTTCTGATATACTGTAGCTAAAGCCCGGCTTTAAGGTATTTTCCTGAGTGTGAGGAATATCACATTGTGCACGTGTCAGAAGCACTGTGGTGGGAAAGAGATGAGTGATGCATTTTCTTCCATATATATTTGAACACCAGTTAAATGAACGCATTACATTTGTGATAATGGTTTGGGGTTCTTTGCACAGCTAGCAGGAGCTACAGAAACCGACTGGATTGTTTTCAACTATGCATTGTTTTGTTTTTTTAATTCCTTGCAGCAATTTCAATCCCCCTGTAACCTTTTTCTTTTTTGTGTTCATCGCTCGAAGGAAAATAAAAATGCCGGTGTTCTGCCCATAAAGTGTAGGAGCGCGATCCGTTTGTAGGGATCACGGAGTGTTTTGACTGGAGGAGATGGCCGATTTTGGGATGTGTCCTAGAGACATGAATACAGCTAAACAAGCTGCCGAGAGACCAGATTGCAAAGTCAGAGTGCTGTTCTGTAAATTGCTTAGCAACACCATCTATAGGATTCCCTAAAGACAACCGACTCCATAAATGCTGTCTGATTTTTTTTAAATCCGGGGAGTACCAGGGAGACTTTGTCCTCCACAGAGAGGATAAATCCAGATCTGAAAGTTTTTTTTATTCTTGTTTGTCAAGGAGTAATTGTAATTCCTGATACTCCCCTGTCTCTTGTTGAAGAACTGTATTTAGGCACTTTGCTGAAATGCAGATCATTTCCAAGAGCTTGTGATAGACTTATTTAAATGTGATAACCCTGTTATTTTGGAAATAACATCCTATGTTATGCATTTTATTTGTCTGTAGGAAGTATGAAGTATTCACCTTTCAGCAGGAATTGCCCTAGGCTAGCAAATAAAATATGATTGCCATTGTCTTTGCTGCAAGAAACATAATTTAAAAGGTGCCGTCACAGAAAATACTTGAAAATAAAAGTGAGAATGGTAATGTGGAGACATTTTTAATGTGGGGCAATTAGGAGGGAGTTTAATATTAACAGGGATCCATTGTGTGATCCCTTTAATATTTAGTTGCTATATTCAGTCCAAAATGGAAATTGAGGTATTCTGAAATGTAAAAAGAAAATATTGTTTGCATATTTTAATACGCACATGAATTTTTCTGCGAAATATTCCTTTATTATTAATAATGGGCTCCATATCATCATGGAGACTTAACCCCTTAAGACGGATTCTTTTCCCAACACGGATATTTTACACTTGAATCTCCAAAGCAGCTCTGTACACATTTACCTAATTAATCCTCAGCCTGCATTAAACCATGAGGGTCTGTGAGAGGTCACTTTCAGATCAGCGCCCTGGCCAGTCAATCAGAGCCGTGCCTTGTCTTTTGTGCTCTTTGGTGGGGTGTCTTTTTAGCAGAAGATAATGCAGTGTCACTGCAGCTACAGCAGACCCTGCAATTGCGCAGTGAAAGCAGCTACAGTAGGTGTGTTAAAGGCACAGTCAGTGGTTGTTTCAGCTGAAGACTGGAAACAGAATGAAAACAGCAGCTAATGGTTTGTCTAAGTGATGTCTCGCCCTTTAAGGCTGGAAAGATAAGAAAGGAAGAAGCGATGCAATGGACTTGAGAATATAGAAGATTTGTGGCAGTGGATGAGATAAAAACATAATCCTGCAGATCTTCCTTCAGCAAGTCACAGGTGTGTACCAGTAAAAGGTTGCTTTTGGTTAGCTTGAAGAGTGCCCGGAAATATTCAAAAAGCACATTTCTGCCCTTCAGAAAAATGTGAATGCCCTGATATCAGAGGTCGTAGCACAGGAAATAAAAAAATATGACCTTCTTGATTTGTTCAATAGGGATTATTCTCAAAATACAGGCATTCTGAAAGAATTCCATAGTTTACATGACTTATCTACATCCATCTAGGATTCTTGTTTAAAGACCAACGTTTTGAAGGAGCTAGATGCATCACATTTTCATTCTGCATTGATCCTGAGGACAAGGGATATCAGGCTGATATGGCCTAAGATAGTTCTGACCAATCCTGATCAGACTCATCGCAGTCATAATCTGTATTATTGTCTTAACCATATTCAGAATAATACTAGAAATATTTACAATATGATTGGGAACTGGTGGTATGCCATACAGTATATTGTACAGTATTAGTTATATGCAGACAGTATAAAGTATTGGTTAGGTTGTACCGCTATTTAGCGGTGGGGACTAGGGTGATCTTTCTGTTTTTATAGTGCTGTGCCCCCAGTGCAGGGACTTTGGCATTGTAATAGCTGTTACAAAGTGGATGATACCTGCCCCCTCTCCTCTCAGGGTGAAGGTAGCTAAAAATACTGAAAGGCAAAATTGTTCAAATATACACTAAAGTTACAGGATGTCCTGCTCTGTGTTTAGGAGTTAAGAGGAGGAACATGCTTTATGCCATGCTGGTTTACCCTGGACTTCTTCTGCCACATATGTCATTGTTTTGAGACCATTGAAATACAGGGGGGTCAGTCAATTTGACAACCCCATGGAACATTTCTCTTTTATATTCCCAGGTAAAATAAATTATTTTAAAAGAGCAATGCCCAAAAATGTTATTCTCATTTTTTTTTTATTTGGTTGTGATTACAATGCCTCTGGTGTCCAATTACTGCTCTGCCTTATACAGTTCTGTCCTTCAGGGTATTCTCTGTGAAAGTTGATCTTGTAGCAAGTCAAGTTTATTTTCATTCCTCTATGGAAATCTCTGCAGTGGGGATGTAAACATCCTCTGACTTCTTTCCTTGAAGGAGACAAGATACAGGGCAGTTTCCTCTATACTAACTTCACACTGGAACAGCTGAAATCTCTTAAAACAAGAAGTGGGAAAACAAAAGGATGGTTTTCCCTTTTTTTGCTGATTCTTTTGATACAGGACACCCGCTATGTTTATGAAGTAACATGATAATGGCACATGGTGTCACATAGCGTTCCCCAGTGCGGGGAAAAAAAGAACTTTAAGGTCAGAAATCATTAAAATAATTTTCCATGGTCACTTTCATCATTATGCCTGTCAAATTCTGAAAGTTCTTTATTATTATTTGCTGTGCACGTCTCTGGAGCGAGCTCCTTCGGTTCACAGATGTTTCCTGGGAATGAGTTTGAGCTCTTCGGCTCACCTGGAAGCTTTCACTAGGCACATGCGTGATGTAATCTCTTTGGAACTTGTGAGGTGGGATGTTCTAATTTAATCACTTGAATGCTATTAATAGTGGACACACCTGCATCTGGGTGTTCAGCTCTGTAAATCACACTACGTCTCCCCTCCCAGACACCTTCTGTTTAATATTTACAGGTCCATTACACATTAAAATTCAGCCTTTGAAGCGTATTTAATCTAGCTATGAGTAGCGTGCTTTAGATAGTATTAGTATCTTTCTGGAAAGGTGAAAGTGTTTTGAACACCAGTGTGTTTTGAGAGCAAACATTCAATCGGCCAATCACAGATCAAGGAATGAGAACCTATCTGAATTCCTGTATGGAAATTTACTCCACGGGATGTTTTCCCTATGATTAGCGCGTTCTTGCTTTTGTGCCTCCCAAGGACACGTTTTTGCTCAGCTCGGTTGAAACTTGCCGTGGTATTCCCGTTTAAATGAGTTTGTTTGGGCAAAAAATAAAAGATACACGTCAGTGCATGTGAAGTTACGTTAAGATGGACAGCGACAGCAAGCACGTCCGGTTTTAAAGTGTGGAGGCAACTGGTTCTGTAATGCCCCACCGTCAAAGGTCACTTTCTACAGTAAGTGGTCTCTGTAGATGTGAACTCTGCTTGGTCTTGGAAAAGTCAGTGAGCCTCTTAAGTTACTACTATCTGGGAGACAAAAAGAAGCGGGTGCCTAAGTTAATAAAGTGTTTTTCTTCGTTGATATCCAGTTAAAAAACCTGATTGATTGATGGGAGAATTCACTGATCCCCAATCCTCTTCCCTTATTTGAATTGCACGCTTCTATGCTGTCTCCGCAATCTGGAGAGAGCAAGTGTGTGGCTTTAATTCCGTGTTCAGCAGGCGCTGCAGAACTGTGAGCAGAATGGTACTGCTTGGCTGCAGTTCTTTTTTGATATGTTCCTCTCAAGGCTGGTCAGCTTGGCCCGAAACTAAAAGCCTGTTCCCTGGGGTCCCGAGGTAATATCTGTAGCTCTGCTCAGCTGGAAATCTCTCCTCAGAATTCTCTGAGAATGCATTACCTTACAAGTCTCTCAAGTGTAGGAGTCTGTCTTGGTGACTACAGGGAATTCTTTTCAAGTTTTCCATTTTGAAGTTAGATGTCCAGCTTCGTGATAAAAA